AACCATAAATTATATTTTAAAAATATCGCTTAAGTAAAAAAAAAATTTTATATTTTTCCTTATTCTCATATAATATTTTTTTTACTACAAAATATATTATAGAACAAAAATTGTAACCGTATTTAACAAGTAACGTTAAATATATTTGTAAGCATTAGTCTCTATACAAAAAAAAAACATGAGTAACTTGTAAACATTAAACTAAATTTTAAAATTAACCAGAACTAACTAACTTTAAATGAAGCCAGCTCTGACTGTTAATTGTAAATTTATATGAATAAAATTCATGAATTATAAAATTATATGAATTAAATTCAACTAAGAATAATCAATTTAAACCGTAGATTATTCTTTGTTAAAAAAGGAGGTGTAGTGTGTTTGATTCATCCAAAATTAGAGAAAATAAATAAATTACAATAAATTACAATATGACAAAACGGCCAATCCTTTACACGTACAAATAGGAGATTTAGTACTACTAGAGAATAATGGCGGCCATAAATTGAGAAAATAAATTAGAGAAAATAAATAAATTACAATATGACAAAACGGCCAATCCTTTACACGTACAAATAGGAGATTTAGTACTACTAGAGAATAATGGCGGCCATAAATTGGAACAATTTTTCAAAGGCCCCTACTCTGTCAAAAATATCGATTCTAATGGGAATTGCTCACTGTCATTGTCGGACAACTTCAAATAGCAAATTCGAAACAATTCTGGTGAATAATGTCACTAAAATCATCAAAATACCGAATATCGGGAGGAACCGTTATAAGGGGGCTATATGATAACGTGGACCTACATGGCCCATTTACGAACTTAACCTGCCTACTGGCAAAATATATATGTGTGCAAAATGCAAAAAAAAAATAAAAGAATGGAATGACGAAATTAATATACCCTCCATAGTATGGTGGTGGGTATAAAAAACATATTAAATCATTTAAAGTAAAATTTATGCCACATAAAACAATTTTATAAAATTCTATTTGATTTTAACAAACCATAAATTATATTTTAAAAATATCGCTTAAGTAAAAAAAAAATTTTATATTTTTCCTTATTCTCATATAATATTTTTTTTACTACAAAATATATTATAGAACAAAAATTGTAACCGTATTTAACAAGTAACGTTAAATATATTTGTAAGCATTAGTCTCTATACAAAAAAAAACATGAGTAACTTGTAAACATTAAACTAAATTTTAAAATTAACCAGAACTAACTAACTTTAAATGAAGCCAGCTCTGACTGTTAATTGTAAATTTATATGAATAAAATTCATGAATTATAAAATTATATGAATTAAATTCAACTAAGAATAATCAATTTAAACCGTAGATTATTCTTTGTTAAAAAAGGAGGTGTAGTGTGTTTGATTCATCCATGTTGCCATACCTTCCGTACGACAACGTATCATACTGGTATCCAACTAATAGTATGCTTTTACTCATGTTACAGAACCTTCAGTATGTAACTTTACACACTCACTTTATTGAGGTGTGTTGTCCGCACTACTCCGAGATAGTAAGCATGCAAGCTCACTTTATTTTTCATTTAGCTTAAGTTAATTTTTGTAAGATAATGTTAGTTCAGTTCAGTTAGTTCGACTTCAGTTCAGTTAGTTCGGCTTCCCCAATAAACCCAAAAGAGTTTTCATTTTAGAACAAGATCAGTTTTGATAAGGCCAAATGTAATGACCTTGATGAATTCGACAGTTTCGTGATTCGCCAAATTAATCAATTACCGATAACTGCTGAAAGAATTGCGCTGGAAACGAGAAAGGATCCACATCTTGGTAAGATTACAAAGTTATTGGAAAGTTGACAGTGTTGAGAGAAATGTGCAAAGTATGCAAATGTCCCGAAGAATCATCGTTGGGAGCACCCCAAGGCTCAGTGGGAACGAGTGCACATAGATTATGCGGGTCCCTTTGAGGGAATGATGTTACTCATCATTAGCGATGCCTTCTCTAAATGGTTGGAGGTAAAGGTTACCAAGTCAATGACAGCAGTTGCGACGATTACATTGCTGGATGAAGTGTTTGCTACATGCGGAGTACCATTATTAGTAGTTTCCGATAATGGAACGAATTTTTCTTCGGCTGAATTCAAGAATTTTATACAAAGAATTGGAGTTAAGTACCACAAATTTACTGCCCTCTACCACCCAGCAACTAACGGCCAAGCAGAGCGAAGTGTCCAAACGGTGAAGAATGCATTAAGGGCTATGTGCACAACGAAAATGATATTGAAGAAGAATCTAAACGAATGCCTGAGACAGTACATGAATGCACCTCATTCGACTACGGGTCAGTCCCCAACACAGTTGTTCCTAAGACGACAGTTACAAACACGTTTAGATCTAGTGCGCCGACAAGAAACTAGTAGTAAAGTAATAGCCAAACAGTTCATGAAGAGCAGCTGTAAATACAGGGAATTGGAAAAGAATGAAAACGTGCACTTTCTGTCCGGAAATCCACGCATTAGCAAATGGCTTAAATTCAAAGTGACCTAACGTTTGGGAGATGTCCACTATCAAATTCTGTTCCAGGGGAAGTATTATAGAAGACATATTGATCAACTTCGTGGTACAGATCAAAATTATATTGACTCTCTGCGAATCGTCCGAATAGCTACGGAGCTGGTTCGAGCATCGTCATCGACGAACAACAAGAATCGGTAATCGAACAAGATGAAGACAACTAACTCAGAGATTGAGCTAGAACCGACCGAACAATTTTCTACTCCACCCGTCTCAACACATGGATATGAGGACACCCAAGCTTCTTCGACATCTACTACATTGCTAGGATTCCCGGAATCATTCGCATCATCTGCTACAAATGTCGACGAACGGGTATAAGGATTGCGGCAAAAAGGGTTCGAAGACACAGGACCCTATTCTCTCCTTAGAGGCGAAAGATGTTGTATATGTAAACTCCATATTGACATCACTTTTATTTTATCTGCAAGATGGCAACACTATTTTCACTAACATTCTAAATTATTTTTTCGTTATAGTTCATAGTTTACTCTTGTAAGTTGTACATCACAATCCTTCTTAATGGAATAAACTGAATTAAATTAAAAATCCAGACTTTGAGTATACAATAAAGACTTTGAAGCATTTGTATTGAGATCGCGGCCGAAACAATTGAAAGTGGCTCAATCGCGGTGAATATTTACGTAAAATAATCATTAAGTATTAAATTTTATGGGCCTTACTATTAATTCAAATAAGAATTTCATAAATTATTATAAACTATTATATCATTAGCTCCCATAAACCATCCTTTACAAGATGTCATCTGATACAGGAGGAATATAATAGCAGGTTATAAATAATCGGACCTAACTCAAATTGATTATCCAGAAACAAATTTAATATATTCGGAATTATTTTGTGTTACGAAATTAGCTGAAAATACACAAACGGATTAAGGATTCCTCAAACTTTCCTAAAGATGGGATTTTTTCTAAAGATTTCAAATCTAAGAGATAAATCCTCTGTGTTTGTAATTAGTCCCGTCACTGTAAAGTCTTTAAATAATATATCAATAGAGTAAGCAATAAATAATCTTTCTCATTTTGAATTCAAATCTCCTACTTTTGAAGACATATTTTAAACGAAGTTTAAAGATATATATTTTATTTAAATTTTCAATTCACGGCGAGATCGAATAGGATGATGGAAAAAAATTTCTTAGCATGTTTTCAAATATTTTAAAATCAATCTGTAAAGAGCAACATATTGTACATGACCAGGGAATGACATTATTAAGATTAGTAACTAAATCAAAATTTCCACCATTACAGTCCGCACATTTAAAATGAGAATGATTTTAACAAAACCAAACATGTAATTGACAAGTAAAGTTACAACCTCGTATACACAATTAAAGGGTTAGCGCGTTAAGACATGATTTACGATTTATTAAAAAAAATTTAAAAAAGTATAGAATTTTTAATTAATGCCCACTAAAAGACTCCAAAATAACTTCTAGTGTAACCAGATTTATTTTAACAACCAACGGAAACGTTTACGTTGAGGAAACTTAACAAGTTTCTTCCACAGTTACTGGAGTTGTTTTAACAACCAACAGAAAAGTTTACTTTAGCAGACACGCCAACTTATGTCAGAAATATGTGAAATATTCAATATAAACCTTACCATTACGAAACCCCAGGTGGGATAGAAAGAATGCCATCCATTACTTTTGCATATACGAATCATCGTTCCCTTCACTACCTTATTTGCCTAAAAAAGAGAGTATCTGGTAACAATTGTCCAGAATCAGGAAAAAATAAGATTTGATAGTTGTTTTATTGAAAGTTTTTTAAATTTTTTGAAAGATATTTGTCGAGCAAGTTCCTGAAAATTTAGCCAACTCTTTAATTTAGAAAAGTGTATATATACATATATGCTTAACCGGTTTCAAAACATTGTCCGTATTGGTCCAAGGTTTCCATATAATGGCACCCACTGATATTCGGTATTTTGATGATTCTAGCCACTTTTTTCCGTAGAATCGTTTAAATTTTGGCATTTAAGGCTCACAGTAGATAAGAATGTATGCAGTAAAAAACTTCTATATAGGTTCCGTGTTTACATAGTCCCATGCATTCTCCAAGTGATGTCACTGATGATGAATCCAAACAAACAGGGTTTCATGTTTTCCAATTGTAAAATTTAATACGTCTCAATCTTAACTCCTGCTAAATTATTCAAGTCGATAGTTCTAGAAAGCCTGGCCTGAGTGATTGTTAGTAAAAGAATTTAGGGAACGAACTGACCCAGTTAATTTTCCGTACCATTGTCAAAGAAGCTAATGATTTAGCTAAAATACTGAATTTTGTGGTTGCCGTTATATGGAAACCTTGGACCAATATAGACAATGACACTAGTTGTAGAACCCATCATAACTACAAATAGTATAATTTCTTATCAATGGAATATAATTTTCAATTTTCACTATCTCTTTTTTTTGCAGAGTTTATCGGAAATTGAAATACAATTCAACAATACTATCACCGCTTTGTGGAATAAGTCCGCTTCCGAAAAGATGGCAGCTACAGCACTAACAGAACTGAGCAATATGTCAAAAAAAGATAGCACGTTATTGGAAGTAAATAACGATGAAATGGATAAAGATGTACTATTATGCGATACTGCATCTAGGCAGGTTGAAAAAGTTCTAAAAGAGGAAAACAAAAGTTCACCTGAAATGCAACCTACACACCCAAACATTATATCCGATTACTCAAGCATTGAAGGAACCAGTGGTTTGGAGCAGCATTTGGAAACGGCTAATGTATTAATGAACATAAGTAAGAATTTTATATCGCCACAGTGCTCAAATTCCAAATCGCTGAACCGTGCTCAGAAACATAGCTCCAGTATTATTAATTCTGTGATACCAAACAAACCCCTCTTGAGTACCACACTGCCCTCCTTGATATCTACAGAAATAGAACAAGATTCAAATTTTTTGAAAGACTTACCAATTAATTCAAAGCGGCTAAGACTTTGCAAAAACGAGAATTCAAATTGTTTAAAAAGGTCAAAAGTTAGTGTCATCACTCAAAGGATACAGAATTCTGAACATTTAGAATCCATTGTTCTACCAGAAAGCGAAAGCAAATCTCCAGATAGCATTGCATCGGAAGAACCTGGCACTGATGCCGCTACAACTCAATTGTGGCAAGTACTCGCTCATTCGGCAGGTAAGAACATAGAATATAGTTGTCCTTATATAAAATCGCCGAAACCACAAATATATCAGATAATCTCAAATATCTCGATGTTTTTTTAAAACTTAAAAGTTTTTAATTATCACATATGTTTTTCTTGTAATTTTATTAGAGTTAGCCAGACATCATTCTGTTTTTTATCAACTTGAGGTCTTTTTTGTCCCCTCGATTCGCTTTGTGTACACGTTTCTTTTCACACATTTTTTTCTTTTCACACATTGCACTTACACGATGTGCGAAATAATCGTCTCAAATATCAGGTGTAACCCTTCTTTGCATTGCGATTGAGGGTTTCGTGACATGGACTTAATTAACATTTAATATTGAAAACATCATGGAACAGTGAAATTAGAAACATATCTTTATGAAAAGAAAGAAAATGCTTACTATTATTGCAGAATTTGTCTTTATTGGAGATACGAATTGTCTTATTCAGGAGGACTGTTTTGCCTATGAACCGGAGTATGACATCGTCTGCATAGTAGACACGTTCCAATCACTTCTATATTAGGTTCTTTTAAAGACTGATTTTACCCCTCAAATTATCCATATATCTTAAGCTTATCTTATTCCAAGGGAACCGCTATACCTTGACGTATCTAAAGAAAACTCCTTATCTGGTCCCCCAACCTTAAATGGACACTCAATGCGAAATGTGTATTCATTATAAGCCTTACCATGGCTTCATAACTCTCTATTCTTTTGTACATTTCATTCAACTTTATCTCGGTTTGTGAATCTACATGCTTACATTTTTTTATACCCTCCACCATACTATGGAGGGTTAATATACCCTTTGTCATTCCGTTTGTAACTCCTCGAAATACTCATGTCAGACCCAACAAAGTATATATATTCTTGATCAGCGTAAAATTCTAAGTCGATTTGCGTTGTCCGTCCGTCTGTCTGTTGTTATCACGCTATCTTTCGAACGAATTGAGATACAAGGCTAAAATTTTGCACACATGTTTATTTTTACAGTAGGCTGGTTAAGTTCGTAAATGGTCCATGTAGGTCCGCGTTTTCATATAGCCCCCATATAACGGTACCTCCCGATATTCGGTATTTCGATGATTTTAGCGACACTATTCACCGAAATAGTTTCAAATTTAATATATAAAGTTCGAAATGGGTACTACAGCCAAAGACAGAAAATTATCTGTGCAGGTCCACGTCTTCGCATAGCCCCCATATAACTGTACCTCCCGATATTTGGTATTTTGATGATTTTAGCGACATTATTAATCGGAATTGTTCAAAATTTGGTATTTGTAGTTCGCAATGGATACTACAGCCTATGACAGAAAATTGTCTGTGCAGGTCCACGTCTTCGTATAGCCCCCATATAACGGTACCTCCCTATATTCGGTATTTTGGTGATTTTATCGTCTTTATTCACCAAATTTTTTTTCAAATTACGTATTTATAGTTCGTAATGGAAACTCCAGTCTGTGACAGAAAATTGTCTATGCAGGTCCCTATATTCGGTATTTTGACGAGTTTAGGTACAATACTCACCGAAATTGTTTGAAATGTCGTATTTGAAGTTCGTAATGGATGCTACAGCCTATGAAAAAAAATGTCTACGCAGGTTCAGGTCTTCTCACAGCTCCGATATAACGGTACCTCCCCATATTCTATATTTTGATGATTTTAGCTACATTATTCACCGTTTATTTCAAGTTCCGAATTTGAATTTGGTAATGACTTATGACAAATAATGCCTGTGTGGGTCCACGTCGTATAGGCTCCAATATAACGGCAATATTCGGTATTTTTTAAATTTTTTTCAGGATTTTATTTCCAAATTCGTTTCAAATGGTGGAGGGTATTCAAAGTTCGGCCCGGCCGAACTTACTGCTTTTTAAGTTGTTTGTAGTTATCCCTTAGCTGGTTGTGCTAGTTGTCCTAGTAACTGTAAGTGTTTACATCTGACCCTTAACGTTTTCGGAATTCTTTATCACGACTGTTTTCTGTCATCCAGGGTTTTTCGTGGACAGATATTTTTTATCGAAGGTTCCCACGCCTCACATTCCCACCCCTGCCGACCGAGGGGTGACCACCCTTTACTTAGGGATCACGTACACATCACAATGGGAATTTAGTAGGGAATTGAAAAGAAGCTACAGATTATAATTCATCAGCTAGTTTGTCAAATAATAAAACAATAATTTTAATTGTTTAAAAATAAAATTATTCTAGATTTAATAACTTCCAAACTCATACCAAAATCTACATTACAGTACACAGAATTAAAGTCAACACACATTTTACTAAGAGGTTCGTCCATTGAATAATTCGTGCGGCGAAAATAAGTATATATAAATTGGTAGTATCTACTAGATCTAAACGGAACACTAATTCTAATCTGAAGGTATATTACAATTTAATGTTTTTAGTACAAACATGGAGTTCAACATAATACGTCTGCTTTTAAGTGTAGACAATCTAATTAATTTTAGCCTGCTAGCATAAGAAGGCAAAACAAAATCACTATTCCAATGTAAACCTCGTAAGACAAATCGCAGGAATTGTTTTTGCACGGATTCTATTTTATCTGAGTATATTGCATATTGAGGATCCCATATAACAGAACCGTATTCTAATATAGGTCTAACAAGAGAGGTAAATAACTGTTTTGTTATATATGGATCAGAAAATCGTTTGGCCCACCGTTTATTTATGGAATTAGGTAAATCGTTGATAAATAAAAGAAAGAGGACCGGTCCAACGTGACTTCCTTGCGGAACACACGATGGAACGTCAATCATTTTCGATAGATACCCTTCGCACAAAACTAGTTGTGATCTATCTTGTAAGTAAGATGATACCCATTTGACAAAGTTTGTGTTGAAACCCATATAATTTAATTTATATATTAGGATCTCATGGTTAACTTTATCAAAAGTTTTATAAAATCAGTATAAATTGTGTCAGTTTATTAATGCTGAAGAAATTGATTTGTTGTACTTGAAAGACCACTACGAAAACCATGCTGATTTGACTCAAGTAATAAATTTATTTTTCGAACAATTTTGGAATGGCATCTAATTTCGCAATACCTCTATAATTTGACACATTAGTAAGACTACCAGACTTATGTAAAGGTATAATATAAGATTTGTTTAGACATTTTAAGTGAATAATTAAACAATATAGTCAAAAGAAGTGCTAATATTTCTGAACAATATTTAAGAATTATATAAGGTATGCCATCCGGGCCTGGATATTTAATCTATTTCAAACTATGCAGACTATGGAACACCTCTTGATGTTGTAGAAAAGGCATACAAATTTTATCAGTCTGTGACAACTTATAAGGATAATGATTATTTCATTTGACAAGATGTACTGGAATAGGTTGTTGCAAAAAAATCTGCGAAACATTCAGCAATATCTGTGCCTGTGATAAATTTGTTATTGCTATATTTCAATACAGAGGGCTTTGAGGAAACCTTTCCTTTTAGGTTAACGAAATTATATAAATGATTTCGGATTGGATTTAAAATTATTTTTAATCTTGTCGAGGTAAAGATTAAACAATCTCTAAATTATATTTAGATATTGTAGGGGTTCTAAATCTACGGAGTAGATTTAGAGCCGAAAGTGTATTATTTGTTGCACAATGACGAACAACAATATTAGACAACACAACAAGTATACAGGCGATACTTACGCGTTGCTAATAAGGCACTGGGGTTAAGGCTTCAATAAAACACTTGTTTTAATTAAAAGACTCTGTCGGTCTGAATTTATGTATTTATTTGTCAAAACAATTCTTTTGTTGTGGCCAAGCTTAGCTTCTCTCATCTTTTTTTTAGTGATCGTCTACTCTTGATGACAACAGTTAATTGTTGAGGTATCGATTGATGGCTCATCGGCGTCATGAACCAGGAACCTCAACATGCCGGGCCCCTTGCACTGGTGCAACCTCTTAAAGTCTGTACTTAGTTTGTTTCTCATTGTAATCATCTTCAGCAACTTAAATCTGTTTTGGCCAAAAATGTTTTTCGGTCGAAAAAGGGTAAACTAGCCAATTCTCCTTTTGAATTTGATAAACTTTTTCTGGAAATAACTATTGAAAAGCAAGAAATATGGGCCACATCCAATATGGCATTAGAGCAATAATTGTCATATTTTTTTTTTCAAATTCATTTCATAACTTTTTTTTGAGTCACCTCTTGTGACAAATTACCACCTCTAGTGGAACATTTCACCTCTGCTGACTTTTGACTTAAAAAGCACAACAAGCTTCTTCAGCGGTTGAATTGCAATTACCTAACCACCAGTCAATATGCCTGCAACACAAGATTCGTTTTAAATAATTTTATTTTTCATAAATATTCCATTTTTTCAATCATAATATGTTATACGTAATTACCATTTGCCTTTCTAGTACACTCAAATAACTCTTTTCCGACTTATTGAGGAAATATTTTTACATATGTTAAAGATTATCAAATATTCACATTTTTACAATTTCATAGTATATTGTTACAATTTTACACATACACCAAAAATACAACGTTTTTATTTTCTTTTAACTTATTATATTATAAATGAATGTCCAAGAACCAATTCAGGTAAATGGAAGTGTACTCCACGTCTCTCAATTGCTTTAAATGGATGCTTGACTTCATTTAATATTTCTTTGTTGCCTATATTTATTGTTTTATTAATTATAGGACCATAAGTATACCATCCAAAGACGGACCAAAAACATTTGTTTTAGTTCCGTTCAATATAATGGATGATAATATATAACTACCAATTAGCATGTCAACCTCATTTAATTGTTGGAAAAAGGGATCGGCAAGTTCTAAATCACGGATTTCATTCAGCTTACACATTGGAATAGATTCAGTTGGAGTCTTTCTTGTTATGCTTTCAATAACTAAAGCGTCCACTACTATCGTATTGTTTGTATTTCCACACAGAGTAATGTTGCATATTTTATTCGTATGTGCAACTAC